CCCTCGGACTTTGAAGAAGTTTGATTCGATTTGGGTGATTGTGGATCGGCTGACCAAGTCCGCGCACTTCATTCCAGTATGTACTACCTATTCTTCGGAGCGGCTGGCAGGGATCTTTATCCGGGAGATTGTCTGATTGCATGGGGTTCCAGTGTCCATTATCTCAGATAGGGGTACTCAGTTCACTTCTCAGTTCTGGAGGACTTTTCAGCGGGAGTTGGGTACACAGGTGGAGTTGAGCACAACGTTTCATCCTCAGACGGACGGGCAGTCCGAGCGTACTATTCAGATATTGGAGGACATGTTGCGTGCCTGTGTTATTGATTTTGGAGGTTCTTGGGATGAGTTTTTGCCGCTTGCAGAGTTTGCCTACAACAACAGTTATCAGTCGAGCATTCAGATGGCTCCGTATGAGGCGTTGTATGGGAGGCGGTGAGGTCTCCGGTTGGATGGTTCGAGCCCGGCGAGGCTAGGTTATTGGGGACAGAGATGGTTCAGGATGCCTTAGAGAAGGTGAAGCTGATTCAGGAGAGGCTTCGTACAGCACAGTCGCGTCAGAAGAGTTATACGGACCGGAAGGTTCGGGATGTGTCATATATGGTGGGTGAGAAAGTCTTGCTGAAGGTTTCGCCCATGAAGGGTGTTATGCGGTTTGGGAAGAAAGGGAAGCTGAGTCCGCGGTTCATTGGACCTTTTGAGGTACTTAGGAGGATTGGGGAGGTGGCTTATGAGCTTGCCTTGCCACCCAGCTTGTCGGGCGTGTATCCGGTATTTCATGTTTCTATGCTCCGGAAGTATGTTGGGGACCCGTCTCATGTATTGGATTTCAGCATTGTTCAGTTGGATGATGATTTGACCTATGATGTGGAGCCAGTGGCTATTTTGGGTCGTCAGGTTCGAAAGTTGAGATCAAAGGATATAGCTTCAGTAAAAGTGCAGTGGAGAGGTCGGCCCGTGGAGGAGGCTACTTGGGAGACCGAGCGAGAGATGCAGAGCAGATATCCTCGGCTGTTTGAGACTTCAGGTATGTTTCTTGACTCGCTCGAGGACGAGCGTTTGTTTTAGTTGGGGAGGATGTGACGACCCGGCCCGTCGTCACGTGAGTTACCGCCCCGTTTCCCCTATTTTCTGCCTCCTCATGTTTCATTATAAGAGTATTGAGTGAACGAGTCGATTTGGATTGGTTTTGGATGGAAGTGAGACACTTAGTCTCTTTAAGGAAGGCTTGTTTTGGAAAAGTCAATCGGCTGTTGACCTATTAGTTAGAGGGCTCGGATGTGATTTCTGGTGATTTGGTTAGCTTCGGGGGTTGATTTGTGACTTAGGAGTGTGATCGGAATTGATTTTGGAGGTCCGGTGTAGAATTAGGCTTGAATTGGCGAATTTAGTATTTTGGCAAATTCCGGTTGATAGGTGAGAATTTGATCCGAGGGTCGGAATGGAATTCCGAGAGTTGCTGTAGCTTCGTTAGGTGATTTTGGAGGTGTGTGCAAAATTTCAGGTCATTCGGAGGTGTTTTGGTCGGGTTTTTTATCAAATGCGTAATTCGGAAGTTTTAGAAGAACTTAGGCTTGAATTCGATGTAATTTGATGGTTTTGGTGTTGTTTGTGGTGTTTTGATGGTTGGAGCAAGTTTGAATGATGTTTTAGGATGGGTTGGCACTTTTGGTTGAGGTCCCGGGGGCCTCGGGGTGATTTCGGATGGCCATCGGGATGATTTTTGGACTTAGTAAGCTTGCTGCAGGTCTGGTATCTGGTATTTCCGCACCTGCGGAAAAGGAACCGCAGATGCGGTTGCGCAGGTGCGGGAGGAAGTTCGCAGGTGCAGTCTATGGTTTGACTGGAAGATTCCGACAGATGGGGAAGGGAAGCTGCATCTGCGAGGCCGCAGATGCGGTAGCTGTGTCGCGGAAGCGGAGGCGGGTGGATTTGGCATTTCCGCAGAAGCGGACAACAACCCGTAGGAGCGAGGTCCGCATATGCGGTAGAGGACCGCAGAAGTGGTCGTTGTCTTTAAGTGTGGATCCGCAGAAGCGGAAAATAACCGCAGAAGCGGTAGTCGCAGATGCGGTGGTGGGACCGCAGATGCGAAAATCCCTGTTATCAGAAGGGTTTTAAGGCTCATTTTGTTCCGCGAGCTTAAGTCTAGTTCCACTATTTTTAAGCAACCTTGAGAGCTATTGGACGGAATTGAAGGGGGATTTCGACAAGGTATGATTGGAGGTAAGTTCCTCGGCCTAAATACATGAAATTATGGTAGAATTATCATGGAAATTTGCGAAAATTCATCAAAAGAGGGTAAAGCTAGGGCTTGAGAATTTGGTGTTTTAAAATGGAAATTGAGGGGTCAAAAGGACTCCGATTTTGGTAAATTTGATATGCATAGACTCGTGGCGAGATGAGGAATCCGGTGATGTTAATTTTCTAATTTTTCGAGAAGTGGGCCCGGGGCTCGGGTTTCGCCAACTTCGTGAATTTCGATATTTTTTGAGTCTTTTCGATTAGGTTATATTCCCTTAGCCTAATGTAACGTATTCGTTGTGGTTTTGGCCAGATTCGACGCGCGAGGAGGTTGATTTGCGAGGCAAGGGCATAGCGAGCTAGGACTTTGGCCAGCTTGAGGTGAGTAATGGTTATAAATGATGTCCTGAGGGTTTGAAACCCCGGATTTACACAACGTAGTGCTATGTTGAGGTGAGACACACGCTGCATGATGAGCGTGGGGTCCATTACTGCTGGGGATTTGGACTTGGTCCATCCCGGTTGATGATTCTACTGTACTTTGACTGAGTCTTAATTAATATCATTGCATTCTGGGCTAGTTGCCATGTTTGGGGCCTTGTGCCGACCTGTAGAACCCTTAGGGGTAATTGTACATGATTGACCTCACTTTACATCGTTAAAATCATACCCTCAGTCATGTTTCTAACTATTTAGTCTAATATGAACCGGCTTTGGAATAACTAAACCAAAAGGAGAGTAATATGTGGACCGGGGTCCCTATCTTAATTTAGTATGCCCGAGAGGCTAAGTTTATATTGACTGAGAGGGGTTGGGAACCCCATTGTGAGGGTATTTGATATATATATTTATACGGATCGGGCTGCACGCCGCAGCAGTATATTATTGGATCGGGCTGCACGCCGCAGCAGTATATTTATATGGATCGGACTGCACGCCGCAGTAGTATAGCGCTTGGGCTGTAGGAGCCCCTCCGGAGTCTGCACACCCCCAGTGAGAGCAGTCGACTATTATTATTGGATCGGGCTGCACGCCGCAGCAGTATATATATCGGGCTGCACGCCGCAGCGGTATAATTATGATTTCGGTTATCGGGAGGAGTAAATGAGTTGAGTACTGGCTTAAAGGATTTTTACCTGATTTCTTCATTCAGTTTCCGTTTAACTGTTCTTACTGCTTTGATATAGAACTGCTTAGTGCTTTTCACGAGATTTCTTTCCGTCAGTCATTATTTATTGCTATTACTCACTGAGTCGGAGTACTCACTTTATTAGCATCCTTCTGATGGATGAAGTTCGCAAAAATGGCAGAAGTAGTCTTTTTTAGATCACGAAGGTTAGTGGGAATTCTAAGTGTTACCTGCCGTCTTTTCTTGCTGGGACGATCATATATCCATATTTTGATAGCTTCCGATTTCATATAGTCCTGGACTGTAGTAAAAACTGGTGTTGAATAGTAGACCGATCTACCCATAGCTGATGCTAACTGCACTATGTGTGCAGATACAGGTATTCCGGAGGCGTAGATTGAGCTAGTGCTGCTATTCAGATCTCACCAGAGTCATCGAGGTAGCTGCATGGCGTTCGCAGACCCGATTTCTCCCTCTATCCCCTTTACTTTCAGCATTTTAGACTTTCTTTGTTTAGGCTGTTCCTCAGACTGTATTAAAGGCTCTTGACTCGTGACACCAGATCGGTGGAATTTGTAGTGATATTTTCTTGATTTTCGCACATTTTATCTACCGTTACGGATTTATAATCATGTTAATTTGGTATTTAAGCTTTGTTAATTGGTAATGAACTCTAAATGAGGGATTGAGAGTGTTGAATTGATCGAGCTTGCCTAGCACTGTGTTGGGCGCCATCACGACCGGGTTGGGGTCGTGACATAAATATTGAACATGTAAGTCAAAGTTCAGGACCAAGTGTCCTGAACTTTTCAACTTTAAACTCAAAGTTTAGGACCAAGTGTCCTTAACTTATGACAGTATGTGCTTAATATACAGAAGAACAACAACAAAGTTAAGGACATTGTGTCCTTAACCTTTTTAATTCAATTTGCAAAGTCAGGACACTATGTCCTTAATATTATGTGCTCAATTTTATAGAATTATCACAGGACGCGGATGTCCTTAACTTTATCAATCCAGAAATTCAAAAAAAAAAAACAAATATCTACTTACGGTATAAAAATCAATAGAAATCGGAAAAAGTATAACTATGTCAAAATAAAAATCGATAGAAACGCATAAAAGTATAACTTACTGTATATATATGTCGATTTTTGGATGAGAATGTTGAATTCTATAATTTGAAATTGGAAGAGAATCTTCTGCAATTTCGACGATCAGTGTTGTAATATAGCGCTGCTGCTGCTGCTGCTGCTGCTGCTCTCGTTAATAAAAGCGTAGGTATAAAAGCGTAGGTATAAGTTATAGCAGAAGAGTATTTTCGTCCAGTCAGGTATAAGTTTATTAAACCAGTGGCTAAAGACTAAAGATATTTAAAACACTGGCTTTAAAATAAAAACAAGAACTGTTAGTGGCTATTTGTGCACATCGCCTGCAACTAGAACGGGCTTCTGGTACTATTGCACATGGGTTTCTAAAGCTCAATTCATCTTAAACTCAAGCCCAATAGTACCTCAACGCGACTAGGATCCACGAGCCTGAATCCCGAGTCCCGACTTGAAACGTAGCGACAAGTGTCGCGCGCCAACAGTAGAGCAATGGAACTGAAATTGTTAGATTATCTCCTAATTTGGCAATTACCATAATTATTGGATTTAAGCGACTTAATAGCAGATAAGTTCTATTTCACTCCGTCATTTGCTGGACGTAATGACTTAAAAAGAGAACAAATTTAAATTGGTTCCTTTCTGTGCCCATTAGGTTACTGTAGATCGAGTCATCGTAAAGAAGAAAGGAAACAATTTAAGCCTTTTAGATTAAGTTCTTCCTCAGCAGGTATGTCACATGCTGAGAATTATCTGTTCAAAGTTCTTGTTTTGTGGTTTATATAATGTCTTATACCTATAGAAGTTTTATTTACAGAAACAGTACTGAATATTGTAGTACTTGATGATTCCTCATAATTTTTGAGTTAATAATTACCAATCCTGTTATATAAGCAAAATGAAGAAATGATTCAGCTTTGCAAAAGAATTCCACAACACAAGTATTCAATTGTGCAAGTAATAGTATTGACTGGTTAGAGAACCTTTACAACTTCCCATTTAATAACTAAAAACAATTTTACTGCTCAATGTTTATTGCACAACATGAAATTTTATTTTAATCGGTCTTTTCTATAGTGGCTTTGCCATTTCAGGATAATTTGAAATATGGATTGATTCCTTCTTTAGTATATCTTTCTTTGATAATGGCCTATATTCTTGGAGAATTAAGCTCAGTTGTTACTGCGGATGAAGTGGGAATCCGAGGCTGCAAATTCTGAATATGACATTTTGCATACTGAGCACCAGCCTCTTATAGTAGCTTGATTGTTGATTATAATTGAGGATAAACTATCTCTTCTTTCCCTTCAAATAATAGCTGAGAGTCTTGACAGCAACATTAAACTGAAGCTGCTATAGTTTAAAGATGATTGTAAGACTATGAAATGTGATTCTTATCTTTGCATTTTTGTGTAACATGCCTTTTTAGTTCCTTCATGCAAAAACATTTTAAACCAAGGGACTCTTATTTTTAAGTTGGACGCCTTGGCTACATACACAGATATACATTTATATCTTTGGTTAATTCTACTATTAGATGAAGTTGATGATATGGCATGAAAGAATCTTTGTTTGTGGCTGTCAACTAAGTCAGAAAAAGTAACGATGCTTGGCAAATGACATTGCAGAAATGGATACATAAAGTCCCAAGGATCGGAAAGGGCCTCAATCCACAAAAAACTGAGGCATGCTTCCCCACACTTAAATAAAAAAAAAAAAACAGGTATTAAAAGAGCCCATCAGTTTTGTTCCCTCGCTTGGTGTTGATTCCTGCTTTCTGCGAATTGCTCCATAAACTTTTTCTCTTATAGTCATATCAGGAAAAAGTAAAAGGATTGGCCAACTTTGCTTTGGCCTACTGTGAGGAATTCTTTGGTTTATATAATTTGAAAAGCAACAGCCAGTATGATTATCTTTAGTTAGTATTAATTTGCTTGTCATCAAATTATCTTGGATTTTCAATTTTAAGATGTAAGCTTTCAATCTTGGCCAGTGAACTAGCATGAAATTAGTTGTTCGCTGTCAAGATAAGATTAATATATCTGGTTTTTGTGTAGAATAATCACCGAAGGATGTTTTGTTGCTTTAATGATTTTATGAACATTGGAATAACAAGAATTTCTACATTATGGATTGCTTGGCATGTATGACCTGTGGAAAAAGTGCTGAGTTTCAGCAAATGGCAGAGCAGAAATAGGTACCTAAAGTGCTATGATCAAGTGGGACCTCAAACTTGAAAGGCTTGCCGTGCTCTGGTGACTTCTGTGGAATGTACCAGGTCCACAACTTCAATGTTCTTGCTGAGATAGAATCTCTACTCTTTTCACTTTTTTCTTAGGACTCTTCATCCACAAAAGTTAAAAAGCGCTGTGTTGTGTTTTAAACCATATGCTTCAAGATATTGGTTTGGATTAGCCTTAGGGTGCAACCTTTGGCAGTTAACTAATACAATCTAAATGAGTGTTTTTTGTTGAAATCTTGCCTACGCCTAAGTGTGTGCTTCTTTGGTTTCCATATTATGAGAAACAACAACCAGAAAAATTATCGTCTGTCAATATGGTTTGCTTGTGCCCCCTAGCGGTCAAGTAGTTGGAGTAGGGGTGGCAAAATGGGTAAAAGAAAACAGTTAACCACCTATATTATCCACTAAAAAATGGGTTGGATAATGAACTATTTAAAAACGGGTCAAATATGGGTAAGAACCATATTATCCATCTATAAAATGGATAACTAATGGATAACCAATGGGTTTAACTTTTACATTTGTAAAGCCACCAATTGGAGGTTCCTCAAGTTTGGGAGACTAGGAATTCTCCCAAAAGTGATCATATTCATGAAGTCATGGATAATATGGTTACCATATTATCCGCCGGTTAACCCATTTTTTATCCGTATTAAATATGGGTTGGGTCGGATAATTTATCCGTTTTTTCATTACCCATATCCGACCCAACCCGCCCGTTTGCCACTCCTAAGTTGGAGTAACAACCTTGGGTACTAAGGTTCAAATCCCAATGAAGGTGACTCTGAGAATTTCGCATTTGCCCAAATCTCGGTGGACGGTATTATTCGATACTTGTACTGGTTGGAGGTAGCAAGTATCTGGTACTTAATCAAAGCGCGTAAGCGCGTAGTCTGGACATGGCCATGTTTGTGTGTAATACACAATCTCGACTAGCGAACTTGCACGAAATTAGTTGTTCGCAAACAAGAATAAGATTGTTGTATCTGGACTTTGTTGCGTAATCAATCAGCAAAGAAGTTTGATATTTTCACATTGAAATGGAAAATCTCTGAAAATTGTTTGGTATTTTAAATAATTTTATAAGCTAGGAATCACAAGAGTTGCTCGATGGTGGATTGCTTGGCATTTATGAGATGTGGAAAAAGTGCTGAGACTCAGCAAAGGGCAGAGCAGAAATAGATAGCTAAAGTACCCATGGATTGGAGGGACCTCAAACTTGAAAGGCTTAGCCATGCTCTGGTTACTTTCGTGGAACATACCAGGTCCGTGACTACTTAAATGTTCTTGCTGAGATAGAATCTACTCTTTTCACTTTTTCTTAGGACTCTTCGTCCACAAAAGTAAAAAGTGCTACATTGTCTTTTAAACCATATGCTTTAAAATGTTGGTTAGGATTATCCTCCGGGTGCAAAACTTTGACCGTCAACTGATACAATTCAAATTGAGACGTCTGATTGAAGTCTTGGCTAAGCCTAATGTGTATGCACAAAATTAGTTGTTCACAGACAACAAATACGATTACTATATCTGGATTTTGCTGTGGAATAAACCAGCAATGCAGTTTGACATTATCACATCGAATTAGGAAATCACTAAAGGTTTTTGTTGTTGTTTTATTAATTTTAAAGCGTTGGAATCAATATAAATTCTCCATGGTGGGTTGCTTGGCATTTATGAGCTGCGGAAAGTGCTGAGGTTCAGCAAATGGCATAGCAGAAACAGATACCTGAAGTACCCATTGAATCCGAGGGACCTCAAAATTGAAAGGCTTAGCTGTGCTCTGGTAATATATGTGGAGCATGCCAGGTATACGTTTTGGAGCCTCAAAATTTTCAACTTCACGACAACAACAATTTTCTTCGACTCTTTCACTTTTTCGCAGGACTCTACCCCCACAAAAGTAGAAAGTGCTACATTACTTTTATAAACTATATGTTTTGAATACCTAATAAAAAAACTGTATGCTATGGAATACTGGTTTGGATTAGCCTTCCTTTGACGGTCAACTGATACTTTAAAAGGACATCTTTGTTGAAGTCCTGAAAAAGTAATTGTACATGATTTAGAAGGAAGTATAAGATAGTAGAACACCTTGAATATCCTGCTGTTAATCATGTAAAACTTTATAATTCCTACCCATTTCAAGTAACATCAACCATATCTGGATAAGGAATATCTCGAGCAATCTGAATTTTTTGTCTGTTATTCTGGATGCGAATAATATTGGTCATGACACATTGAAGAGTATTCCTTTTCTTTGCTAGTGAGTTGTGAGATGGATAAAAGTTCTTGTGTTCAACGAATAGCAGAGCAGAATCGGATACTAAAAGTACCCAATGATCGGAAAAAGGCCTAAAAGTGGACATCCAAGCCATTCTTGGATGAAATTTCTTAGCCACAAAGTTCTTACCTTCATGACATTTTCATTTTATTCCTCGATAACCTGTAATTGCCTTGTTACTTTTTCTATGACTACTTCACATCAGAAAAAGTAAAAGTACAATATGCTATCCTTCTGTGTCCTGTTCAATCAGTTGCATATGTTGAGTGCCTGGTATCAGCTCAAGACTGATAAAAAGACATTGTGTTTTGATTACTGATACTGTTGAGCCCATGGAATACTCTTCGTTTTATGCTACACGGTTTACTCTGATCTGAAAATATAATTAACTGGATCACATAGGATTGCTAAAGATAGATAAGCAATTTATTAGCCTGCAAACAAGTATGAAGACATCAGCAAGTATTTTTTTATATTTGTGGTTAACTGTTTTGGTAGTAAATAGAGTATGCAGGCATAAGTGAGCTGACTAATGGTTGAGAATCTTTAAAACAACCCAGAGTCATGTCTGCCTGATGTAGAAGGAGAGAATTCTATTCTAAGCTACATCTTTATAGGGCTTGTTTGTAATGCAGTTGTATAAGATTCATATTTCCTTTTTCCGTTTTGATTTCTGTTAAACAAAAAAGTATCCTGCAATTGAACCTGCGATACTGTGTAGTAAAATCATAGAGAATTTCGCATTTGCCTAAATCTCAGTGGACGGAATTATCCGATACGCGTACTGGTTGGAGGTAGCAAGTATCTGGTACTTAATCAATGTGCGTAGTCTGGACATGGCCATGTGTGTGTGTAAGACACAATCTCGACTAGCGAACTTGCACGAAATTAGTTGTTCACAAACAAGAATAAGATTGTTGTATCTGGACTTTGTAGCATAATCAATCAGCCATGAAGTTTGATATTTTCACATTGAAATGGAAAATCTCTAAAAATTGTTTGGTTTTTTAAATAATTGTGTAAGCTAGGAATCACAAGTGTTGCTCCATGGTGGATTGCTTGGCATTTATGAGATGTAGAAAAAGGTCTGAGACTCAGCAAATGGCAGAGCAGAAATAGATAGCTAAAGTACCCATGGAATTGGAGGGACCTCGAACTTGAAAGGCTTACCCATGCTCTGGTTACTTTCGTGGAACATACCAGGTCCATGACAACTTAAATGTTCTTGCTGAGATAGAATCTACTCTTTTCACTTTTTCTTAGGACTCTTCGTCCACAAAAGTAAAAAGTGCTACATTGTCTTTTAAACCATATGCTTTAAAATGTTGGTCAGGATCCGGGTGCAAAACTTTGACCATCAATTGATATAATTCAAATTGAGACGTCAGATTGAAGTCTTGCCTAAGCCTAATGTGTGGCTTCGTTATTTTACATATACTTAAAACAACAACCTGCAAAATTATCTTTAGTTAAAATGATTTTCTTCTGCCCCTAGCGGTCTAGGAGTTAGGGTTACAACCTTACTAAGGTTCAAACTCCAGCAGAGATGACATTACATGAATTCTTCACACTTGCATTAATCTTGATGGGCAGAATTATTTGATACATGTGCTGGTGGGAGAAGGTGGAGTTGAGCAGTCTGGACGCCATCTTTTTTTTTTTTTTTTGTGTGTGTGTGTGTAAGATACAATCTCGTCCACTGAACTTGCACAAAATTAGTTGTCACAGATAACAAATACTGTTAGTATTTCTGGATTTTGCTGTGGAATAAACCAGCAAGGCAGTTTGATACTTTCACATTGAATTAGGAAATCACTAAAGGTTTTCTTTGTTGCTTTATTAAATTTTAAAGCGTTGGAATCAATAGATTCTCCATGGTGGATTGTTTGGCATTTATGAGCTGTGGAAAAAGTGCTGAGGTTCAGCAAATGGCATAGCAGAAACAGATACCTGAAGTACCCATTGAGTCAGAGGGACCTCAAACTTGAATGGCTTAGCTGTGCTCTGGTGACTTATGTGGAACATACCAGGTATCACGTATTGGAGCCTCAAAATTTTTGAACTTCATGACAACAAGAATTTTCTTCGCTGAGATTGAACCTACTCTTCACTTTTTCGCTGGGCTCTATCCCACAAAAGTGAAAATTGCTACATTATTTTTTTAACTATATGTTTTGAAATACCTATAAAAAAAATGTATGCTTTGGAATACTGGTTTGGATTAGCCTTCCTTTGACGGTCAACTGATACTTTGAAAGGAGACATCTTTGTTAAAGTCCTGAAAGAGTAATTGCACATGATTTAGAAGGAAGTATAAGATAGTAGAACACCTTGAATATCCTGTTGTTAATCATGTAAAACTTTATAATTCCTACCCCTTTCAAGTAACATCAACCATATCTGGATAAGGAATATCTCAAACAGTCTGAATTTTTTGTCAGTTGTTCTGGATGCGAATAATATTGGTCATGACACATTGACGAGTATTCCTTTTCTTTTGCTAGTGAGTTGTGAGATGCATAAAAGTTCTTGTGTTCAACGAATAGCAGAGCAGAATCGGATACTAAAAGTACCCATTGATCGGAAAAAGGCTGACAAGTGGACATCCAAGACATTCTTGGATAAATTTCTTAGCCACAAAGTTCTTACCTTCATGACATTTTTATTTTATTCCTCGATAACCTGTAATTGCCTTGTTACTTTTTCTATGACTACTTCACATCAGAAAAAGTAGAAGTACAATATGCTATCCTTCTCTGTCCTGTACAATCAGTTGCATATATTGAGTGCCTGGTATCAGCTCAAGACTGATAAAAAGACATTGTGTTTTGATTACTGATACTGTTGAGCCCATGGAATACTCTTCGTTTCATGATGCTACAAGGTTTACTCTGATCTGAAAATCTAATGAACTGGATCACATAGGATTGCTAAAGATAGATAAGCAATTTATTAGCCTGCAAACAAGTATCATCAGAAAGTATCTTTTATTGATATTTCTTAGTGGTTAATTTTTTTGGTAGTAAATAGAGTATGCAGGAATAAGTGAGCCAAATAATGGTAGAGAATCTATTAAAAAGAACCCAAGTCATGTCTGCTTGATGTAGAAGGAGAGAATTCTATTCTAAGCTACATCTTTTTAGGGCTTGTTTGCAATGCAGTTGTATAAAATTCATATTTCCTTTTTCCGTTTTGATTTCTGTTAAACAAAAGTATTCTGCAATTGAACCTGCGATAGAACTTGTTAATACCCGGTTGATGTTGGATTATGAAGCAATGTTATTAAAAGCGCGCATCGCGGGCTGGGTGCTTTGCATTGCTTAGCGGGTGCTTAAGTGTAAGGGTGTGCCTAGCAAAACACAGCCAACTAATTGCTTTTTAAAAGTTTTAAGTAATTTATAAGACCTGTAAGTTTTGTTTTGAAGAGGGCAATACTAAGCAATAATTATAACGTAAAGTGATATGGTACTACTTGTTAAGAAAACAGTATGGAACACATGTTAGTGACTAAAAATTGGGAATTAGAAATTTTGTGGAAAAAATTAGTCCCCAAATACTTCATCAAAGAAATGAATCAATAAAATTGAATTAGAAACTTAAAGGAATAAAAAAAATTAAAATGATCTTGAACTTGATTGACATGCTTTATGCTTCATGTATGTTTCACTTAATTGCAATTTGTTTTTGAATTTATTTGTTCATATAATTGGTTGTCTGCGTTTGTTTCTAATTTTATTTCTTCATCTCCATCTTTCTTCACTTACGCGTGTTTTTTAATCGTACTTTGCGCTTTAAACCCGAGCATACCTTGTTACACTTCTTTCCTTTTGCTTTTGACAAAACCATTCTGTAAAACATTTTACTACACTTGGCATTGAAGTAACTAGAGCCCAGTGGAATCCAGTAGTGTCAATACTGTAAAGTGTTTTTAGTTGATTATATATAAACAATTAATCAAATGGATGATATGGAGAACACTTTAGATCCCAAAATAGGAGGATCATTTCAGTATTTGATTGACTTGATGCTGTTTCTACTTTTGAGTTTTAGTTACGGTGAAGGGAAAATACAGATGATTGGTCTTAGAGATTTTCATTAGCTTGATTCATAGTTTTATCCATCTATCCACGTCCTCCCCTTACTTCGCCTTTAATTTTCCTTTCACAACTGACTAAAGTGCTTCTTCTAATTCTTGAGGAAATTACCCGTTTCCTGCTGATTACAGATTAGAAGCTGCTTTTTAGCTGTTTTAAGGATACCATGTGCCTTGATTCTTTCATTACAACTAAATTGTCGTAGTATTTTGCTTACAAGGTGCTTATAGAGTACCATTTATCCTACTGGTGCTTTCTTTTCTTGGAGAAATGGACCTTTTATTCTTTATCTTCAGTGATGGAACATTCATTATACTGAAGAAGAATCTGGGACAAATACTAGTTGAGAGAGAGGCCCTGGACCAAAAGCAGATATTGATAAACATTATATGTCATTCAAATAGAGTAAGTTCCAACGAAAAGATTACCCCCGTGGAAAGCAAAAAGCAGAAAGTAGAACTGAACTTCAATGATATTGCACCAGCTCACAATTTCACACACAGCCACTGAGCATCCAGAGGTTGTTGGCAATAGTGTTCCCATTACTTGTGGCTGCACTGAACTCTTCTTAATGTGGAAAAGTTAGCTGCAGTCAATTCTTCTTTTCCTTTTTCTTTTTCCCTTTAGGCATCTGGTATCTGAAGTTGTGCAGGGTAGGTCCACTAAGGAGGTGAACATTTCGTACCAAAAGGTTTTTCATTACCCGAGACCTCTGGTTAAGGATGTAGATATCTCATCCATTCCACCACGCTCCTTGGTGATACTGCAGTCAATTCTTTGCTTGTTGCAGAACTAGTACTTTTTGTCTTGTTGCTTTTACACTGGAGGGGCTTTTTCTTTACTTTCTACTCAGAAAAATTGCACGTATTGACTGCAACACGGTCTACAAGGAAGATCTCTCTTTACATATACAACAATGCAGAGAATTTAACAAAATCCTCTGTGGAAAACTACTTTAGTACATTTCTCATTATTCAATAGCTAGTTAGATTGATAATGATGTAAGGTACAATATTAATATTAGGTTTAGGGACTTGTAGTTGATCTTCTCTTTGCTGCATTTAGAATGAAGGGACAATTCCATAACTGCTCTCTGCAATTAATTGTGTGGAGAACATCTGGTCTACTTCAGCCTCTACATCTGTTCTTTTCGCAAATCGACCTTTGATTCTTGGCCTTGTTTCTGCATACGCTTTTCTTGAAGCATACCTTATGGTTTTCTCAAATTTACGGTTCTTTTTCTTCTCTCTGTACCTAAGGACTCTGGCTTCCCTGTCCATTGGAGTAAGCTGGGTAGGCATTTGAATCGGAGGGCCTGAGAAGAGGTCAATGGTCCCTTTTGGAGGTCGTGGGTGGGAGTTTGAAGTTTCACTAAGTGCAGATTCTGGAACAACACTAACATCCATGGACGACATCGAAACCTGATAATATATACAGATAAAGAATGTAAGTTTTATACAGTGGCAATGTAAAGAATTTATATCAGCACAATTTAATTGATTATAGAAAGAGCAACGAATCTTTGTTAAAGGTTTATGGTACAAAAGTTTCAAGGGCCTGTTTAAGATAAGAAAAGATAGTTATACTAGCAAAATATGGGCAGCTAAAATGAAAAATCCTCTATTGAAAAAGCATGAATAATTCAGAAGCACTAAACAATCTCTTAAAAAGTTGAATATGAAAATTTAGTAGAATCTCCGTAAGAAGACAACTCATGAATTTAATTAAAGTGCATTTAATTGCCTGAATTGAGATACATGGATATAATGAAGAAAACTTACACTGTGACTCATAGAAGCAGGGTAACCATATCCAGTGTTAGAGCTGTCATACTCCATTCCCAGCTGAAAACTCAGGTGGTGATTTTGCTGCTGTTGTTGTTGGTGGTGTTGTTGCTGTTGGTGGTAGAGAATCATGGATTTCCCCTGTCCGTCCTGAACTGGCACCACGCTATCTCCTCCGTAGTTCTTCTGAGGAACGGAGTAATGTTGTTGCTGCTGATTAACACTGTACTGATCATTAAACTGATTATCCCCTCCATACTCCGCAAGATCCAAGTATTCATCCACTACTTCCCCACCAAACAACATCCCATAGTTATTTTGGTTGTTATTGTTATTAATGTTCTTGTTGTTGTTCTTAACAGGAGGATTCAGCAATAACCATGAAGCTGCTTCATCTTCATCTTCTTCATCTATTGTCGTATCATCTGCATCCTGAGTCAAACTCAAGAACCTATCATCCTCCGTGGCATTCCCCTCGGGGCCACCAATCATCAAAGTACCACCGCTAAGGGTGTCAACAGCTGGAGGACCATATAGGGTACCTGCATAACATATTCAGGATTTAAATTTTATGGATTATAAGGTTTTTTGAAAATCTTCGTATCTGTGCTCGACATTAATTTTGAAGGCATTACCTGGAATGGGCATAATTGGGACACGGTGGTGACGGCGCGCCAAGGGGTTAGCAGAATGGATATCAGCATCGCAGGAGGCACAAAGCGAGGCAGCATCTGCCTTGCAAAGAAAGGCTGCAGGAGCGCGTTCACAGGCCTCGCAAACCCAAACGCGCTCATGACGTGAAGCCACAAGGTTTGCTGCATGTATGCGGGCGTCACAGCCCGCACACAAATAGGCGGAATCCGCCCTACAGTAAACGGTACATGCAGCAGACCGGCAAGTGTCACACACCCTTGCCCAGTTGTTGCTGCTGTTTTCCTTTTTCAACATTGAACTAATTTTGGGTTCTTTTTTCTTCTTCTTGCTCTCTATTTTCTGTTGTATAACTTTGTACTTCTGAGTACTGAACTTGTAGCAGGTATGCTGAAGACTTAAGAGGCACTGTGAAATATGAAGAGGGGAAGGAGGGAAAATAACAGTAGGCAACTACCAAGTGGGAAGGGAATCCGCGGGCGACACGTGGAATGAAGTTAATGGCTAGGAAAAGTTGTTTCATTATCTTGTGGTGGCTGGTGATTCTAGTGGGGCCGGATGGTGGGGACAGGCAACAAGGAGGTTGAAACAAGTGGGTCCACGGGCCTTTTGCCTTTTGGAATCAATTGAGGTGGGAAAGCTTTGTCCAAGAGATTGCCATTTAAGGGGGAGTCTATAGTCTTACTGACACACTTCCTATTATTTAATTATCAGGTGTTACTGTAACTGTATGTATACATTGTAGCTGTGTACGCCTACATTCGTATATAAGTTAAACGCAGAGAAATTCAGTCTTTCAAGTCGATAATGTAGTTGTATCTTTTCTTTTTATAACAATGAATACAAACTCAACTATAAGTTTATGTTGTATGAGATTAGAGAACAAATAAATGTAATAAGTATTACATTTTCTCCTGTTATAGGTCGCCCTCCTTGCTAACACGATGTTTTTGAGTTGCCAAAAGAAGGCATAGCACGAATAAAATATTTTCCTCTTTGACACATTGGTCTAATCTTTCATGCCCTTCCGGTAAAATAATATGTTGAAACAAAGAGTAATGCTCGACTGATGTAACAAGAATATTTTATGTCACTAGTTAAGGGAAGCAGTAATGTTAGTCTCTTTGGTTTTGAATTTTACTTGAGCCTTTGCCAGATGGAGAGCGTTTTGTAGAGTCTGATTAATTTCTAGCTACTTAGAGGGAACCACTTTAATTTCTACATTTAAATGACAATATTTAATTTGCAAGCCAAAATCTATTGGATTTCTAGATTGACAACCTTGAGATTGTAAATAAACGCCCAAGAACTAAAATTTAAAGCGGTATATGGAATGTGACATCCATAACAAAAGTTAGAAAATGAGAGCTGGATTTATTTTCCTTGCATCCAATATTGGAAACCATTAGCTATTTAATTCGAATTTGTGTTGTATTGGCCTATTAAAGAGGTAAAATGATCCTTACCAAAAAGTTTGAGCTGTATTCTTGTTCTGGAAATTGTCATTCTTGAATTGAAGAAATTAGACAACAAAATACAATGCACATTTTTGCCTCATACTAAGCAAATTATTCTGAGAGCACATTCCCAATATACCCATTACTATGTCTACGTGGTGCCTTTTGTGGGGCTTCTGTTACCAATTCCTAATGCACAGGAAAAATGTCTGCAACAACACTCTATTGTTGTGCACAATTAGCCAACTTCAACATCACTTTTTCCTTTCAAACCTTTAAATGCGCTGTTTTTAGGATAAACCCAAAACGAATTTTCGAGACCTCGTGGCTGTTACTCAGTCGGTCATTTAACACCATTTGAGAAGCTGACTCACACGAGTTTTGTACAAAAATTCTGCCCAATGAGTTGTTGCCATGTGGTGTGCAGCTGGATTGAGATCCACCTAAACCACAAGTTTTAATGGGCTAAGACTATGGGCCCAATTCACATGGCTTTTGGGCCCAGTGAAAGGTAAAGCCGCAATCGAAACCTTGTGAGATGGACACAGTGATGTGGCTGTGGCCTTTCAACCTAATGCATTACAGCCACTACTGTAATATCCCTAAGTTGTCTTCATTAGCTTTGGATTTGCTGTCCTGATCAGCTTCAAATGTTGAGTCGGAGTTTGATAGAGATGAATAATTAAAAGCTATTCATCCCCAGCTTTCCTCGCAATTGGCCTCTAAATGCTGATTTAACATTTACTTTTGCTGTCACTTCTTGATTTTTAAGATAGCCTTGCGTGAGTCGGCTGATGACCAAGCAAATAGTCAAGATAAAATCAAAAAGTTTCTTAACTATAGTAGTCTCTTGGAAGGGTAGCATTGGCAAGTGATAAAAGTTGTCGCTATGTGATAAGGATGTCACTATGTGACAACAAGGTTATCGATTCAAGCCGTGAAAATAATCGCTTGCAAAAATATAAAGTAAGACCACATATAATAGAATAAATGCAATTTAATTCTTACACCAACCCTGTGCAAAGTGGAAATTTAATGCACCGAGCGACTGACCAAGAAAGTACCCTAATCTTTAGAGGCATTATGGTTTTGATACTTGATACTATTGGTGGAGTGAAGAGAGAGGTGGTAGTGGAGTGCAATGAGGTTGCATGCCACATAGCATCCACCTCAGCGATGTGTCATGCCACGTGAAATAATTTTGCTAGGATGAAAATTTCTAACAGCATAAAGGTATATTTAAATCAATTATATGACGTCTGTGGTGGACTAATAGTATAACAGAGCGTATAAATGAATATTCCAATAGTATGAAGAATTATTTTGACCCTTTTCAGGAAAAAAAAAAAGTTCATGGTCACATGAGAGTAGATACTTCAAACATACAATTTATGAGTAATAGGTTCTATGAGCTTTCATTGGAAATACCGTGTAAAATACCAACCTTCCTCCTGCTCTAACTGGCTCATTCAAAGATTACAGACAAGTAATTAGTACTTGACTAAGGTTTTTAAATGTATATAGAAATACTGTACAAATATTTCACATAATTTAAATATCTATACATATTAAAAATACCATTTATGTTCAATTGAAAATTAGTTCGAATTAATGTAGTGGAAAAAATGGAAAATTACGGGAATAACTGATATTGTTGGTGTGCCAGCAAACTAATTCCCTTTAATTTTAACAGGGAGTGACATACACAGCTCACACGTGGAACTTCTATGCGTTAGCCACATGTATGAAACGTGGCAGCCTCATCAATCTTACGGTCATGACTGTTGAATATGTTAGCTACTCATAAATATGCAGACTGATAATAAGCTTAGCTAGCTGCGAACTCTTCAATTAGCAACGAATTGACGATAATTCATACAACCAGCAGTACATATAGGTTAAAAGGTTGAAGGAGAGGAATGTCGGGGGCACAAGGAGCACAGCCAAAGGGATCTCTAACACCAACAACATATGAATCAGTTGAACAGAAAGAGGAGGACAAGCCCAAAATGGATGTCCATTCCCGTGAAGATGAACGCGGAATACAGATTGATAAAATCCAGGACAAAGTGAAAGATGCCGCCGGCTTAGGCGGTCCTGTTTTCGGTGCAGGCAAGGAAGAGAACAAACAAGACTTGGGCGTTACCGGCACCGGCTAGTAGAATATATATGAAGTCTAGTTTTGTTAAGTTGTTGTATTAATGCAACTTCTTTTGGTTGTGGTCTTACTGTCTCGTGCTATGTTCATCTGTTTTGGGGCTTCAAATAATCCAAAGTTGTAAAAGAATGATATGAGTATGACGCCTGCTTTAAATATATACTTAATGTACTTGAAAAAGAAACTTTTTTCACTCATAATTAATATGACTGATATATTAAGCAATTAGCCGATGCATCTTCCGCGTAAATTAAAGTTGCTTATAATTGCGCTTTGCGGAGTAAATCGTGGGATTTCTCGATTTGGCGAGACAATCGAGAAGTCTACATTTAATTTAGAGTTTAGACTCGTCAATTTAACAACGCTAGCAAACAATAAAACCTTTGATTTTCTGAAGCAAAAAATGAGAGTGATAACATGAACACATCAACCGTATAACATTGATGGATAGCTTCAATGAGAATAATAAGCAATTAATTACAAACAGCTAAAAACGAGAGGAACATCCCTCTCAGTGAAGAGCAGGAGCAAGTGCGTAGAAATTTAAAAATAGCTAGATTTATTTAAAAATAGTCCAGTTAGCCACTTTTTATGCTCAATAAAATTGAGCAAAAGGAGTTCCAGCATAAGTATACTAGAACTCCAGCATAAGTATACTAGAACTCCAGCATATTATACTAGAGTTCCAGCAAGTACACCGGTCAAGGATAATATATTGTAACTAGGTTCATCGAACTTCAGTATATTATGCTGGACCGATCTCTATTGCAGCAAAATAGTGGTTATTTTTCATAAACGCTGACTATTTTTGAATGGCCAGTTGGAAAACTGGCTATACCGTGCTATTTTGACGAAAAGAAATGAAGAGGTGAAATTAGTGGGTAGACAGTAATGGCCGTTTGAGTTAGAACTTGGGCCACTGACACCTAGAGATTTTGGGTTTGAAATCTCTTGCAGCCCAATCTTATATTCCACATCCACTTGGATTGCAATTTTCCAACTGACATATGACTCAAATGTCATAAGGTTAATCCTAAAGAAGCTTCATATTGCTATTTAAGTTGGTATACCAAAATTCAAGGTGTCTTTTATATATCTTAAATTCTAATGACCGCACTAATTTTAAACATTCAAGCAAATCCCTCCGATATTTAGTCATTTCAGTCCATTGAGATGCAGGATGATGATCGTCTCTCACCGTTAGGTTGTCATATCATGCTCTTTTTTCATTGAAATATCACATGGTATTAGGCGAGGCTGCTAAGCCTTTTCTAGGGGAAAAAAAGGATCATGTTTTGTTACTGCAAAATATCAATTCTCATGATATATTCAGCTATATTGACTTATTGTTTTAGGAGAACAAATTGTTAATGTAATTAAGTTAAAATTGTGTCTTATCTTGTTTTCTAGGAAAAAGGAGAAAACATTGGTTTTCATATTTTTATTAGTAAAAAGAGAGACTTGGCTAGTCTTTATTGAGTATTCCCTACACCAAAATATTTCACTTTTCGCTTCAAGGAATTCAAATCAAGTGTATTTCAGATACTAACTTTTTTTCCTCGTTGAAGCTAAGCTAGCGGTTGTCGCACTCATTTTCTATATAAATGTTACTTTAGTTCACTTTCATTAATTTCATTTGCTTTCTTACCCTCGTTGCCATTGGACAATGAATAAATTTTAGTTGTCACGTATTCAAAAAATAAATTTTTATTTTTACTTGTCACTTTCCCCGTATCAAGATTTATTCTTCCTGTTTCGCCCTTAGCATTAGTTACTCATTCCAAATCATTTTCCAAATCTATTAAGACTATACACCAATTAATATGGGTATTATGGTAAATTATCTATTTTATTTATTATTTCTTAAGGGGCGTGAAAACTCCTAAGAGCATGTTTGGAATGCCACCTTGGAATTGGATTTGGTTGTAATTGCGTGTAATTACACAGTTTGGCATGTTTGTTTGGCCAAGTAATTACTTGGTCAGCATGGAATTGGGGGTAATTAGAGGGGTGTAATTACACTCTCCAATTCTCAAGGGGAGGTGAGAATTGGTGGTAATTACACTGTGTAATTACAAGGTTGATTTTTAGTTTCTTTCATTTTTGTTTTTATTTTCTTTATAACTTTTTATTTTTATTTTTTTAATTTTTTAATTTTATTTTTACTTTTTAATTTCTTTAAATTTTAAAATATATTTTCTTTGTACATTATTTATCTTTTATTTCTCTATCTTTACTTCTTGTGATTCCATGTAATTATTTATATTTTATTTTTTATTTATTTTATTATTATATTTTTTGAAACTACACCTCCTAATATTAGAAATAATGAGTCATTAATAAACTTGGCATATAATGAGTGATGCAATTAAAGTGGAACTTCGTTGTTAAATGTGGTTATAAACTTATCATGTTTCTTATCTTAAGTTGCAGTGGGATTTACTATTATTATGTTGGAATTTGACATAAGTTAAACTATTTTATTTTTTTGAATTTTTGAAATTGTGTTATATTCATGGTTCCNCTCCACCTCTAGGTGCGGGGCAGCCGGTGCTGAAATCATACGGTTGCTGACCCTGCTGTACTGCCTTGCCTCGGAGCCTGGGGTAGTATCTCCTCATATGACCAAGTTCCCTGCACTTGAAACAACCCCGCGGTGTAGCGACCTACTGCCCTGATGACTGACCCTGATGGCCGGTAGACCCACTGGAAGAAGCCTGAATGGCCGGTGGACGATATGAACTCTCCGGCATAGCACTGAAATAAGAATCAGAAGAACCCTGAATAGCTGGTGGGCGATAAGAACTCTCTGGCATGGCGCTGAAATAGGGACGCGCTGGAGCACCCTGAGCAGGTGGTGGTGCTGAATATGGGGGCCTACTCGGCTGCCCCCTCCCAAACTGACCTCTGCCCCTAGCCGGGGCACCTCTGAATTCTCCAGAGAACCTAGCCCTTTTATCCTGCTGCATCTGCTCCCTACCCCTTAGACGGTAGCCCTCAATTCTCCGAGCAATCTCCATTACTAACGGATAAGTAGGGGTGTTCATAAAAACCCGAAAAATCGAACCAAATCGAAAACCAAACCAAACCGACTAAAAAAACCGATACTTTTTGGTTTGGTTTGGTTTTGGTTTTGAATTTTAAAAACCGATCAAATTTGGTTTGGTTTTGGTTTTAATCAGAAAAAAACAAACCAAACCGACCATAGGAGTAGCTATTTTAAATTTATTATTACACCTATATATATGGATATTGTTATACAAAGTTTCAAAAAATTATGGTAAATGTTAATAGTTTGCACTTTTAATATAGTTCTTTACCTTACATTCTAGTTTGATTGGTAGTTTTCTTTTGATTAGTGTAAGAATCCATTTCGTGTTAAAAATAACATATTTTTAATTGAGTCCTTAAATTATTCATCACTATTTGATTCAATTATCATCAATATATCTTGGCAAATAATAGATTTCTCAAAGGGCAATTGATTTGATAGTGTTACATTGAAAATGTGGTTGCGGGAATATGTGTTTGGTATTGTATATCTTATATTTAAGAAAAAACCGACAAATAACCGAAAAAACCGAAAAACTAACATAAACCGAATCGAGAAAAACCGACTTAATAGGTTTGGTTTGGTTCTAATATTTGAAAAACCGACTTACTTGGTTTGGTTTCTTTTAAGGGAAAAACCGATCCAAACCGAACCATGAACACCCTAGGAGGGAGTAAGAAATTTCCATGCCGGACCAGTCTGTTTCTTGGAATTATGATGTCTTTAGTGTTGCTTCGTGTATTGCGCTGAAAAATAAAGCAACCTTCTTTTTTTAAGAATGATTCTCCAGAAATCATTAGCTTCTGCACCAGCAAATTCTCACTCTGACCCGACCCTCCATTATAAAATGACGTCTGATTCCTTTTCAACAGCCGTCGCTAATCATTATATATATGCAAACCGAACTAGCAATGAGGCATATGTACTCAAGCCAAATGATGATTGTTATGGGAATGCACTCAATAATATGCTTAAAAACTAATCTCATAATGTCAAAGTTACACCATTATCTAAACTACAAATACAGGTCTTAAGTAAAAAAAAATATTGAACTCTCAATTAAAATCATTTAACTAAAACATGAACATGTACAAGGAAAAAAAAGAACACATCAAAGTTCTTTGAATCTTTGGTGGTTCCTTACTATACAATACATAGTTTAACAAATGGCCTCTAGAAATCTGCCTGAAAGTTCTAAGTGTGAATTTCAATCTGTATAAATACATACTACTAAAGAATATAATAGCTCACCTAGGACCAGATAGCTCCATGGCTTGTACAAGCAACAAAGAATCATCAGTGAGATCTGAAAATCTCTCGGATGAAGACAACTCTTTCGTTTTATATTTGTTACTACCGTCAAATTTCTGGGATGCTTCCCACCTCTCTGCAAGTCCATCACCTTCAAGCATTCGAACGATTTCAGACATTTTTGGTCTGTGGCCTGGAAGATATTGAGTGCAGAGCAAAGCAACTTGAACCATTTCCTCTAGCTCAATTCGATCGTAGTTGCTTTTCAAATCTTTATCAACCAGGATATCAAGTTTCTTTTCTAGGTGAATTTTCTTAACCTGATACATGCAACACAAGGTTATATTCGGGGAATGACATTTTAAAAATAGAAGAAGGAAATGCATTGTTTAGCGTGAAACTCTATGCATTGTTTAGCGTGAAACTCTAAGAGTTTAGACACATACCAAAAGTATCCTTAGAACATTTCTATGGCTATAAGAGCACGTCATTAAGGGTAAGAGAAGTTTAAGGTTAACTAGTATCCAAATATAGAAAAGTGACATTCTTTTTGGGACAGATTGAAAAAGGAAAGAGTGTAACGTTAAATGGAATTGGAGGGATAGATGCTTATTTGAGGCTTGACAAATGAACACTCACCCAATCAAGCATTGCTCCTTTCTGGTTAGCTGCTTTTCCAAATTCTATAGCTCTCATTCCAGTGATCAGTTCAAGAAGAAGAATTCCAAATCCAAACACATCAGTTTTCTCAGATGATTGGCCTGTTGAAAGGTATTCAGGTGCTATATGCCCCACAGTTCCACGAACAGCGGTTGTGACATGCGTATCCTGGTGATCCAAAAGCTTTGCCAGCCCAAAGTCTCCCACAACCGCCTCACAATAGTCATCGAGCAATAT